CCCCTTCTCTCCCTCTCTCTCTCTCTGTCTCTCGCTCCCGCTCTCCGCAGTGCTCAGAAGCGCTTTGTCATTTACCACGTCAGCACTTTCGTGACCTGCTATGAGCCAGGCAGGCAGGCAGGCCTCCTTGTGGGTGTAATTTAAAGGCGCTCGCTGCACCTGTGCCTCTCTGACGTTTCCAAAGCTCTGGTTTTGATGTCCGCGCCGGTCTCGTTTTCTTCTGACCACCTCGTGACCTTCTCCTCACCCCCACCCCCTCCCAGGTGCTTAAAGGTCACGACGACCACGTGATCACCTGCCTGCAGTTCTGTGGCAACCGCATCGTTAGCGGCTCAGACGACAACACGCTGAAGGTGTGGTCGGCAGTCACAGGGAAGGTGAGTGCCCCTCTGGCTTCTGTCCCCGGTGTGAGAATCTCAGCTATCACAACATGTCGGCAGTACCGTGGCTCTATTCCCATCATGCATCTCTCTCATTGATCTGATTATAAACTGACAGCCCCCGTTTCTGGATGTGACGGTTTTCCCTTCTCAGGCCTCGCATGCGTGATTGGCCGGCTATCCTCGTTCCTTAAACCATGCCCCTTAGGCCGTTACCCTGAGCTCTTCATTAGACCCAGCTTGTCATGGTTGTCGGATCTGTTTGTTCCCCACATCGATTTTCGGGCCGGGCGGGCGCCGTTAACTCCCGCGGATGCTTAACTCGCTAAGGCCCTCGCCTGCATTGGCGGCAGTCTGGGGCAGGAGGGCGTCTGTTTGGTGCGGTGCCGGTCCGTTTGTTCCTGACACGTGCCAGGCTCGTGTGGCTTTCCCAGAGCCGGCCAGAGAGAGCAGCCGAGCCTGCCGATTGGCTGTAAATCAGCCTGTCACTCGCCTCCTATTCCTGGACTGTTTTCCCGGGAACGCTAATGAAATGGGCTCCTCTTCAGAGCGCCATACCTCTCCCGTTTTGACAGGGGTGAATATGGATCCCGCTGTCTGTGTAATCGCGTCAGAACCGAACCGGGAAGACTGGCGAGCGCCGGGCGGGGCCTCTTGCCGTGGGGTTTACCGCAAGGGGAGGGAGGAGTTGCCCGCGAATGCTGCCTGCATCACAGTCGCTCTGGTACCCTGGGCTTTGAGAGTGCATGCTGGGAATGATGACTCATCATTAAACAGTGCACACAGCCTTTGTCCCAGAAGTCAGGGAGGAGGTGGAGGCTTTGCAGCGGCGAGCAGGAAGCCCATGGTCGCCATGGCGATGACCCCAGGGACAATAAGAAAGTCAAAAACTCAGCTAAATTTACCCAGGTTATTTGCTTTTCAAATGGCAGCGACTCACTGGTAGGCATGTGTGCAAAGCGCAGACACACACTGCCATATGCACTGTGCGGCCAAAAGTATGGAGACACCGCTATTAGAGGAATGGCTGAATTGACCTGAATGAAGCCGCACCCATTTCTGACAGATGCATGATTAAGAACACGATCACATGACCTCCTGCGCCAAATGTCAGCAGCAGAACTGGGAGGCCATACAGAAGAAGTTAGTGACTTTCCAGTTGGCGCCATCATAAGATGGTATCTTCCCAACAAGTCAGTTCGCCACATTTCTGCCCGGCGTAAAAGCCGTAAGTAAAGTGATCATGTAGGTCACAACATCTGGGAGCGAGTTCAGTTGGGAAGTGGTCGGTCACCCAAACACCCAATCCCCAACCTGGATAGCAGCAAACCCCACCAACAATGATCCTACATCTAATGAAAACCCTTCCCAGAAGAGGACAGGCTATTATAGCAACATGGGGCCCACCAACTTCAGATTAATAACCTTGGTTCAGAATGAGATGTTGGACAAACTAGTGTCCACATACTGTTGACCATATAGTGTAAGTTACAAGGTTAGATCAGTGACATGTCTAGTTTATGTTGAAAATATATATTCAGTTCAGTAATTAAATATGTGCTTAATTTTGTTTGAGTGCTTGAATTCCTGAAGCAGACTTCGACTCAGTCACTTTAATCAGGCAGAGCCTGACATCTCAATCAGATCGATTCACTGCTGATTTGTCCAAAGTAATCCGGTGGTTCTTTAGTACCTAGACTTGGCAGTGTGTTGCCCACGCTGTTATATTGGCAGGACGGGGGTGGCCTTCATCTCCTGGCGGGGGAGGAACCGTGCTGAGGCGGGGGCCACACAAGCAAGCAAAGCATGCAGACCTTGGCAGGAGGGCATGTTTGGTCAGGGGGTGCTGGGGCATCATCGTGAAACAACGGGAAATCGGAGGGGGGTGGGTCAGATTTGTGGAAGGCGCTCTCAACTTAAAAATAACGCTTAAAAAACACACGTATGTTCCAACCCGCATTGCACAGTACGGGTCGGTTTGAGAGTAGTGCGTCTCAGCAGCCTACGGTCATGCCTGAGTGCAGGTGCCGAGGCCATATCCAGCGAATCGCCGCCCCGTGACCGGCCTCCGTATCAACCCCCCCCTCACACACACACACACACACACACACACACACACACACACACACACACAGCACTTCCTGTGTCCCTTGCGTCCGCAGCCATGCGCCCCTGTCCGAGCCTGGCGGGGGCGGTACCACGCCCTGCCGCGGCCCGAATCCCTGCCAGACACGCTCAGGTGAGCCTTCAGGCCGCGTTTTCCTGCGTGAGTCACTCCGCAGCGGTTCCGTCCTTCCGTGGAGGTCGAGTGGCAAACCGGCAGCTCCTCCATCTGTCAGTGTCTGCGGGACTCCTGTCCGAGGCGCGGCAGGCCGTCCTTCTGTAAACCGGCCAGCGCCGCTGCTCTTTTCCATTGCTGGGCCTCCGTGGGTCGCCCCCGGCCTTAGCACGCCGTGTGCTCCGCGTCGTTTGCCACAGGACTTCTTAACGAATCGGACTTCTGCTGCTGGGAATCGGGGATATTGATTGGTGAGGGGGTGGCAACCCTAAACGCTGCACTTGAGTGCCACTATAAAGGATGATACGACATAATCCGGTCCCTTATTCCCGTCTGTGAGTGACTCCCATTGACGACCCCCCCCGCCCCCCTCCGCTTTCTTCCATAAGAGTCCCGACTCCATTTTTCCAGTTCGGCAGTTGCGATGAGGTTGCATCAGCTGCGGCGTCGCATGTCTTTGCCTTTTGGTGTTTTTTTGCGAGCCGCCGAACCCGTAGCCTCATGCTCCTCGCTCCCGGCTTCATTCCATGGCCACTGATTCCGCCCGCCCCCCCCAAACCGGATGCACCGGAGGGTCAGCCTTCAGGATCCCTCTGATCCTAAAATACCTTGCCGTTTCAGGCCACTCACTCCCGGCCATATCTACAAACTTTCACTCGCCATCATCTGTACTCCTACGGGAAAAGTACAAACACAAAGTGCAGCTTAAAACTCTACAGTTTGAAGGCTTGATTTTCTCCTTCCCATTGATAGTTCCCATTTTAGGCTAATCGTGCGGTTTCTTTGGCGGTAAAACCAGTCCGCGCTGAATTCCGGGTGATACCGGCCACTGGTACCAGCGTGTGAAATATGACCGGAATGGCAGGTGGGTCCAGTCACACAACCAGTTCATTGAGTTTGTTGCTTCTGTGTTGACCGTCACCATGGAAACCGCCTGCCACGTCTTGCCAGTGGCGAGTGGAACACTGAGGTTTATGAGGCTCGTGTTGCATGGAACATTCACCGGGCCACGTTCGCCACTCTGTCGGTTCTGATACAGCCCCCCTCCCTGAGCTTATTCACCCCTCCCCCCCTTTGATGATTGGCGGAGAGCAGCAAAGGGTTTTCCTGTGGGACCGTAATTAGGGCCACAGGATGACACTGTGAAGGGGGTGCGGGGGCCTGTATGTGGGGGGGAGAGACTGGTGTCGCTCCAACTAAAAAGACGAAAAAAACTAAAGCCGAGGTGAAGGTGGCCAAGTGAGGCGTCGCCGTGGAGACGGGGGGGCCGCCAGCCGGGCACCCTGATGTGGACAGTGAGAGTAACGGCCTGGCGTGGCCCCCAACTTCACCGCCGATATGGCCCGGCCTCCAGATCCATCCCTTTTTATTAGGATGCCGTCCATTCAGCCGTCATTTCTGTTGGCCGCTGAAAGGCAGGCCGTCCGCGCGGGCGGCCCTTTCTCGGCCTGAGTGCTTAGTAGGAGAAATGAAACATTAAGAAAATGGTAAAAGGGGAAAATAGCCAAATTAGTGCCCATTCCTGATCTTAAACACTAAACAGATAGAGAGGTAATCCTCCCTGGCTGACAGCATTCAGAACCTCCTCTCTCTCTATTGTTCAGGCAGATACACGGACAGCTAAACTCCATCGCACCAGATCCTGTGCTTTCATGTGTTTTTTTTTCCTCTCTTTTTTCATGGTGGTCCATCTTTGTCTCTCTCTCCTACACCTACAGCGTCCCCACACATTCATGCAGTAGACGGATGATGCTGTGGCCTGAAAAACCGAATACTGAATGTAAATTCAGCTGCACACCATGTTTGTAATGTGGAAAATAAGGAACGGGCCCAGTTCTGGCTTAGCCGTCATGGCCGTCCTCCAGAGTTTACGTCCCTGGTCGGTTTCGTCTACCACCGAAGTTGTGATTTCAACACTTGTGACGGCTTGTGGTTTCGGACCATTGGACGAATCCCACCTGGAAAAGCGTTAGCATTTTGGCACCCCCGCCTAAGTCACTGGCCGTGACGGGGTTTGGCTGGGGAGTAGGGTAGATGTGGGGGGGGGGGGGGCTTAACTATGCAGAGAAGGTTCTAGAAGGTCAACCTGCTGCTTGCAGAAATGGGCAGAGTCAATGGAGTCTTCCCTGTTTATCAGGACAGAACAGCGGCATATTAAACCTGCCATTCATCTGGTGGGGGTGCGGCGGATTGCAATTCATTCGGAGTCTCCTTCTGTACGGATCACACCGGAAAGCAGCAGCGATTTCTGACCCACCGGAGTGAGAACGATGCTCTGGGGGTGGGGGGTGGGGCCCCGGTATCCTGTAAACAAATTAAGTCAAACGGCTCCGGTCCGTTTGGGGGGGGGTTCTGTGCTGACGTTTACCGTATTCTCTCTGATCGATACCTCATTTGCAGTCCCGGGTGAAATCAGATCGCTGGATGTGTTTATTCCCGTATCGATGCTTATCGAGGCTCATGTGGTGCGAGAGCATTCCTTTCATCAAGCATCAGTGGGATCAGTCACTCGTGTCCATGGGGTCTTCCGTTTACAGAGAATGAGAATGGAGAATGGATGGGTGCAACCATGTTGCACACGGGCCAAGATATACAGGAGCTTATCGATGACATTTGGCATGTTTGTGTTGTGTGACATGGAAGAGCTCAAACACAGGCTAAGCCTCTGTTTAATAAGGTAGTCCGCTGCGAATTACATGGTCGTCAACGGTTACCACACTTAAAGGTCAAACAAAGATTCCCATGCCTGTGGCATTTGAGGCTCGTGTTTAAAATCGTTTCTGTCTAACCTCGCAGTGCCTGAGGACGCTGGTGGGTCACACGGGCGGAGTCTGGTCGTCCCAAATGAAGGACAACATTATCATCAGCGGCTCAACGGACCGAACACTGAAGGTGTGGAATGGCGAGACTGGGGAGTGTATCCACACGCTGTATGGACACACGTCCACGGTGCGCTGCATGCACCTACATGAGAAGAGGTGAGCCCCCCCGATCCCAGCCTGTTGAGTCCTGCCCGCTCCCTAACCCGTACTGTCAGGGAATCATGGGATGAGCATTGATTTTTCGCACCTTCGGCGGAGAAGGGTCATCGGTGGGCTGAGACATTCTGGCATCCATGGTGGATTTGTGCCAGAAAAACACAAGATGGCAGTTTCTTTTTTACGTGGTGATTTAGATGCTTTGTTAGGGCTGCCTTTGTCACTCGCGTCTGTACAGTGGGAATGTGACCCGTTTGGGTTTTAGGCATCCCGCTGCGCGCTCCTTCCTGGGAAAAGGTTGCTCGCTTTCCGGAAGCTTCCCGTCTGAGCGTCCGTCTGTCTCCCGTCCGTGCCAGGGTGGTGAGCGGCTCCCGGGATGCCACACTGCGGGTCTGGGACATCGAGACAGGCCAGTGCCTGCACGTGCTGATGGGGCACGTGGCGGCGGTGCGCTGCGTGCAGTACGACGGGCGGCGCGTGGTCAGCGGGGCCTACGACTTCATGGTGAAGGTGTGGGACCCCGAGACAGAGACCTGTCTGCACACGCTTCAGGGACACACCAACCGCGTGTACTCCTTACAGGTGAGCGGGGACTGCCTGCAGTGGGCGCCCTTAAGGGCCAGTGGGGCATTACCTGAATGGGCTGTCACCTGATCTGCGTGTCACCCAGGTATACTAGTTAACTGTCACAAAGCTGTACATCAATAGGGTGTGCCATGTGTTGGTGGGGGGGCTGAATTCTGAGGGGGCAGGGTTCCAAGATTTATGGTAGGGGGGACATAAGAGGGGTCTAATTCATAAAAAGCGGCCAATCATTCGCCAATATTGTTTTTTTTTTAATCGGTGAGTGACAGGGGAGAGGGCAATCTGGTGGCCAGTCAGCTTTCAGCTAGTGCTAGTTCGTCTGTGACCCCGCCCCTCTAAGATACTTTGTATTATGAGTATATGGGTGTTTTTATGGCAGGAAACCCTGAGGAGAAGGGGGGTGGGGGAGTCTGCCTAGAATGAAGAACCAGGCGGAAATTTCCGTACAGCAAGGTCGCGTTTAAAATGCAGCCAGCTCTCGCAAAAAAAGACAGAGCACTGTTTGAGGGCCAAGAAGGAGTTTTTCAGCCCAGCCAGAATGACATCAGATTGCAGGAAGTGGCTTTTCCCAGACAGCTCCAGGACACTGGGTTTATTGATTAACAGCCGATCGATACTCTCCATCGCCCCCTGCAGTTCGACGGCATCCACGTGGTGAGTGGCTCCCTGGACACGTCGATCCGCGTGTGGGACGTGGAGACGGGGAACTGCATCCACACGCTGACGGGCCACCAGTCGCTCACCAGCGGCATGGAGCTCAGGGACAACATCCTCGTCTCGGGCAACGCCGACTCCACCGTCAAGATCTGGGACATCAAGACGGGCCAGTGTCTGCAGACCCTGCAAGGTGAGCGCAGTGGCTTGGGGGGGTGGGGAATCTTGTTTTCATACTCTCCTGTCCATTATACGCTTCACCTATCAGGGATGGAAGTAATTTTCTACCCGACTCCTGGCATAGCCGGGAATTGTGGACAGCTTTTTATGGCCACCATATTGTAAAAGATATAATTTGTAGTCGGTCGTAACGTCCGGCAGGATTAATTCCCACTGGGATTATGAGGATGCGTCACCTGACCTTGTAGTTTATGTGTCTGACGCTCACCGAAGCAGAGGACACGCTCGGTGAGCATGGAGACGAACAGGGAATAGCAAATGGGGGGGGGGGGGGGGGGGGGGAGGGGGGGTACCCCGCCGAGTGTTAATGTCAGGGGTGAGGTTGCGTGCGTGGACGGTACGCGGCGTCGAGCCAGTCTGTTAGCGGCCCTGCGTCTGAGCACCAATATAATTAAGCCTTGGTTAAGGCCTCCAGCACCCTGCGCTGGGGATGTGTTTAGCCATGTTTAATGGTGGCTTTGAGCTGCAGACAGGCACCCCCCATTACAAATACGTGATGTGGTGGGTCGTATTAATGACCCCTTCAGCAATGGAGGGCTTGTAGGTACGTGCAGATTTGTGCTCTTACAAGGGGTACACATTGTCGCACAGACACAACTGGCGTCTCTCTGACATGCTGATTAGGTTCCAGACAGCCCGCCCTTGGGGCATATCCCACCCGCCTCTGCAGGCCTTGACTCGCTCTCCACCACTATCTTGCACACAGCGTTTGCACCCCCATTTGAAGGCGGTATTCCAGTAAACTAGGACCTGGATCGGTGGTCTCCCGCTTTCATAAATTACTTATTCCGGGTAGAAATGTTGAAGCTCCTTCAGCGCCTTGCCACATGGCACGATGGCCAGTTGGGTGACCAGAAGTATTTCTCGAAACCAAGAATGCAAAGATCATACTCGTAGTCTTGGCAAGAGCGGTCTTGCTAACTCGCCTCCCAAGAGCGAACTTGGGGTGCAGTGAATTTTTTTGGGATTTTCCTCGTTAGGCGAGGATGCAATGGATCTATCTTTGATATCTGGGGTGTGGCAAGAACAACATTCAGGGATTTTGTACTGTCCTCTATACTTTTGTTCTTGAGTATTTTAACTGGTCCTCTGCAAAGGATCATGACGTAACCTCCATGTTCCCCCTCCCCCAGGTCCTCATAAACACCAGAGCGCGGTGACGTGCCTACAGTTCAACAAGAACTTTGTGATCACCAGCTCGGACGACGGCACGGTAAAGCTGTGGGACCTGCGGACGGGCGAGTTCATCCGCAACCTGGTGACGTTGGAGAGCGGTGGCAGTGGCGGTGTGGTGTGGCGCATCCGCGCCTCCAACACTAAGCTGGTGTGTGCCGTGGGCAGCCGGAACGGCACAGAGGAGACCAAGCTGCTTGTGCTGGACTTCGACGTGGACATGAAGTGAGCAGGCCCAAAGACGAACCCGACGCACGCCGGCTTTCGGACACGGGGCGGCCCACCCCCCTGCCTCATCCGTGCTCGCATCCATGCTCATCCCGCAACCCCTCTTCCTCCTTCCCCCTCCCCCTCCCCCGCTGCTGCAAAGGCGCTAGGCCCCGACCTCTTGGAGGCCAGTGGGGAATATGTGTTTGGGGGGTTGGGGGCGGGGCTCATCACACGCTGATGTCACAGAGAGGCAGAGCCTAAAGGGAGGCTGGTTCATGACAGGGGAGCTGGTGCCGTTCACGCACCACCGTGACACCCCCCCCCCCCCCCCCCCCCCCTCCGCACAGAGACTTGTTCGCTCAAGCCTGACGCTACCAGTTCAGTGTATAAATGTCTATCTCCCCCCGCCCCCCCACATCAACAGCAAATGCAGGTTATGGACTCACCGCTGTATAGAAGGAAACCAGTGTCATGTAAGAAATGGTATATAGTGTATAAAAATATTAAAGACGATACCTTAACAAACAAAAAAAAAACAAAAACGAAAGAGATTCTTACTGGCGAAACATTGAGCAGAATCACACACGCAGCTTTTTGGTTTTAAGGCCAGGGGGTGCCTGGTTTGTGTTTCGTTGGTATTTTAATTCCATCATTCGTTTCCTGGTTTGAACGGTGCAGAAACGACTGTGAATTTCAGTTACTTTGTACATTTGATAAGTTCAATGAACGAGTTTTTTTTTTCTGCCTACTGTTGCCAACAACAATCGGTCCCAGTATTAACCTCTCTCTCTCTCTCTCTCTCTCTATCTATTCTGTCTTTCTTTTTTGGGGGGGGGGGGGGGGTCTTATCGAAAGATAAATCTCGATAGGCAAGATGTCCCGAGTCTTTGAAGAGTCTGGCTGGGTTAGCTCCTCAACACTGGTGCTATGTTGGGGACGGGCCCCTGCCCCCCTCCCACTTCCCAGTACTGTGTTCCCAGTGGCCAAACTTTACCTATGCTGCTAACGGAAGGGAAAAGGTGGATGTTTAATTGCTGCGACGTTTTAGTCCCAGACTAAATTCCAAATTAACTTTAGTTTGAACTCTTGACATGAGCGCTGCGTGAGCGGCGACTGACTCTGCTGCCACTGGAACCCAAGCCAGGTGTGCCTCTGAGTGGCGTCAAGGAGGGAACGGACAGACGGACGGACAGATGACAGACAGACATGGGGCTGCCTGCAGCAGGGAAGGACAAGGACTGAGCGGACATTTCTGTTTTAGGGTGCGTGTGTGACCGTGTGTGTGTGTGTGTGTGCACGTACGTGTGTGCAACAAATTGTAAACACATTCCTTAGGACAAAGTTCTTTCAGCCTGTCTTGGTGGGGGACTCCATTCTAAAGGACTGTGGTGGAAAGGGACAGATGGGGGGGGGGGGGGGGGAGTGGTAAATAAGTCAGGTGAGTGGATTTTTAAACGAAAGAATCGCTGTGCCAACGTGCAAATGAACATCGCTCAACCTAAAGTTGGAGTGGACAGCTTGACGGATTGAAGTGCCCCGACTTGGAAAACGCAGACAGACGTGAAAGATGTCCGCTCAAAAGGCTCCTGGGGTCAGAGGTTGGCATTGCATGAGGTCGGTCGTCTTCCTGGAAGCAGACCCTGCTCTGGGTACGTCTGCTTCCTGGATGAAAGGGCGAGCCTGCAGGGAAAGGTGATAGTGTAGCCAAATGATTTGTCTCATTTTCCAAGAGTACATGACTCTAGCTGAACTGTGAAAGTGGCATAACACTGTATATTAAACAGTCTTGTTCTCTCTCTCTCTCTTTCTCTCTATCGTTCTCTCTCTCTCTTTCTCTCTCCCCATTTAATTTATGATCTGGTTTGAGAAATCAGATGTTACCGGTGGTTTTATTTTCCAGTTTTATGTAACTGCCTGCCGTCACAGACAGAGGAAAAAAAAAAAAATGCGTAAGGGATTGTGTATTGTTTGATTCACTTAGAATTTTTATTTTCTTATAACTTATAAGTGCAATAAAAAGTGGGTTTTTCTTTTTCCATATCAAGCATTTCAATTGTCTGTGTTGGTGTCTGTATGCATGTAACTCTACTCTTGACACCCCTAACGGGGGGGGGGGCACATTTAGTGAATTCACAATTGGATCTCAGTTTGGCCCATGGCAGTGTGCACCATGCTCACCCAAAGTTTGGTCTTAACACTCTGTCAAGGAGTCATATAGAACGATTCCCAGTCCTAGGCTCCACCATTGAATGCCGGAACATTCCGGGAATCCATTTAAGTTCTTAGTGTCCCCCCACACACACACTCACATGCACACTGAGTACTCCCACCCTGTGAAAAACGGAGAAGCAAGACAAGACCACCCGGCTGTCAACACAGACCACTAGGAGGTCCCACATATGCCCGGTTCCTGCTCCTTGCTGTTTTCACGCTGCCCCCTCTTTGCTCGCTGGAGAATACCGTCCTTGCGGTCGTCCGGACAGTCAGCCACACGTACGTCTTCCACCGACGGCAGTCCTCTGTTGCGCGAGGAAGTGTGCGTGGGCGAGGATCTCGCACGGCTCCATCTGTGTGCCCCCTCGTCGTGCCTAGAAAATCTCGCCCCAAACTGGCCCTGATCCCGGAATCACTGCTGGGCTCACATACTGTGATTTTAGTTTAATATGTCACTGATCAGTGGGTCCGTTTCACGATCCAAACTCCTTGCATTTCGGATGGACCTTTGAGCGCTGATCAACACAACATTTACTTGCGTAAACATTTCCTGAGACAATGGAACCCATGAATATTATGTGTGCGTGTGCATGCATGCATGTGTGTGTGCGCATGCATGCATGCGTGTGTGTACATGCATGTGTGTGTGTATTTTTGAACCCAGTGTCTGTTGAAATGTATAGTTTCAGGTTCAGGACACGGCTAAATGTTGGGTCTTATATAAGTGAAATGCTCTGCTGCCTTAGCAGGTTAATGACATTGACCGACCAGACATAGACCTGCCTATCTCAGCCTGATAGATTTGATCAGAACTTTACTTTTGACTCTTGACCTTTTCTATGCATCTCTGGTACTCGTAGTTGTCAGGGGCTGTTAAATACAAGTACAGCCTGGTGGTATTTCAGCCTGTTTGTGTGTGTGTGTGTGTGTTGGGGGGGGGGGGTTCAATCCAGTTCAATCTGCAATTAAATAGGCTGGGCTACAGCTGTCAGCAAGATATCGCCATCGTCTGGCTCATTTGCGTTATCCAGACGTGTGATTTGCTGGCCCAAAAAGGATTTTTACTTTGTTTAATTTTTTTTGCAAATGCAATTATGACCAGTTACTTAGGCAAGTATTCAGCAATTGAACTATCTATAACCAATTAATCCTAATTAAACAGACTGTTCCTTTTTGTGCTTCCTCTTGTGTTCGATTAACGCTCTGCCTCCCGCAACTCACTGACATGTCATCAGACTGCCAGATTTTTAAGGATGTGACCAGACTTCATTAATTTCATGAGAACCAGTGTCTCAGTGGATCATTTTATTGACATTTTATTTTGATTTAGCAGAGCCTGTCTACACAGGAAAGATGCAAGATTTATGTTAGTATTTGGGGTACAACAATTTAGGTCTAGATGAGGCTTAGGGATCCATTGTCTCGCTGTACCTTTGAGCCAAGCACTGCATTATGAATCCACGTGCCTTAGGTTGACCCCCTAATCCATGTCAGGGGGACACTAGGAGCTACTTCAGCTTTTACACACTACATTAAAACTGAAAGGCTCCTATTCTTGGCTAAATAGTTTTTCTTGTGCTTTCACTGGTTTGTTTCCTTGACTGAGTCATCCAGCTGTTCCACATTAACATTAGTGACACATACTTGATTATAGGAGACTGACCAATCAGCACAGAGCAAGAACTCAGTACTTAAGTGAAATCCAAGTCTTTTTAATTGAAATGGTAGTTTACAAACCCTGTCCTAGGTCATAGTGCCCCCCCTAACGTGCCTGCCCTCCAGTTCCTGGATGTTGACCCAAATGGGCTCAGGTAATAGTAAGTATTCAGATCCTTCTGTCATGAGGAATCTCTGATGTGGGTTTCAGAGGAAACATGCTTTTGGATAGTGTTACCTCTGATATGAAAGGGTTAATAAGAGCTGAAATTACCCAGCCCCCCCCCCCCCCCCCCCCCC